TATTTCTTGACTACTAAAAAAAAAAGAATTCAAAAACAGACAGCATGACCAGTGTAGTATATGATTCCCAAACAAATGACTCTTATGAACTGGTTCTTTTTACTGAATCAAACACACAAAACTGACTAATCAGTGTAGTTGCTGACTGTTTTTTCATTTGATATAGTTAAACATATAGTTATTCATTTTATATTTTATTATTTTATATATATATATATATATATAAATTAATTGTTTATTTTATTTTTAAAGAATTATATAAAAAATATTTGGTGTGTGTGTGTTATTTTTTTTTTTGACAAAATATATGGCAACATTAGTGACTAGTAGGCACATATTTCTATGTATAAACTGTATAAATGTATAAACAATCCAATGCTAAGATTTACATTGAGACAGTTTGCCCAGGGGCCACTTAAATAGAGTTCTGAGTAAACACCCAGAAACTGCAGCATAAATTAAACACCACATTTTATTTGTCGACTTGTATGGTGGTTTTTAGGTATCCAAAAAAATTATTATGGAAAGAAAAGGCGACTTAAATAGTTAATGTTGATAATCACCTAGAATGATCTTTGAACATTCCAGCTCCCAGCTCCCCTAGCATACTGCAGTCTCCATGTAGATCCCAAGCACAGGTCTGAGATGAGCCCGTTCAGTTGTAATTATAATGTCTTGGGTCTGGATTACAGCAGCAGAGGTTCTTTGGAGGTTACAAGCTTGATTTGAGGAGTGTTGTTTGTGAATAAGACAAGAATTCGGTGCCAACTCCGTCTTCTTTTCTTCTAAATGTCCTGTCTCCAGGCGATTCTTGGCCAGCATCAGGGCGAGTGGAAAATATCGAATTCAAGCCAGATAGAGATTAGCAGATAGCATCCTGGAAGCATTTTAAGCTGTGGAAGAATTACCGAGCTCAAGAGGAAATTAGGAGTTGGCGAGCACCCTGTCCTACCATAAGTTTGGGCTGAACCCAGAATTCCTCGCTAATCTAACTACAGTTGTCTTTTAAGCCAATTGGCTGTTATTAATACTTTAAGTTCACAAGTGCAAGTGGAGATTAATGGCGTTTGTGGTGCATTCTAATGTTTTTTGGAGGAATGTTTTTTAGGCTGTCAGACCACTCACAGGAAAAATACTTTCAATATTTCTTGACTACTAAAAAAAAAAGAATTCAAAAACAGACAGCATGACCAGTGTAGTATATGATTCCCAAACAAATGACTCTTATGAACTGGTTCTTTTTACTGAATCAAACACACAAAACTGACTAATCAGTGTAGTTGCTGACTGTTTTTTCATTTGATATAGTTAAACACATTGAGACAGTTTGCCCAGGGGCCACTTAAATAGAGTTCTGAGTAAACACCCAGAAACTGCAGCATAAATTAAACACCACATTTTATTTGTCGACTTGTATGGTGGTTTTTAGGTATCCAAAAAAATTATTATGGAAAGAAAAGGCGACTTAAATAGTTAATGTTGATAATCACCTAGAATGATCTTTGAACATTACCATGCTTGGTAGCTGTAAACAGCTGTTTTACATGACAGAAAAAAAATGTGTGATTATTAATATTAATAAATGTAATCATTTATTAAACATTGCTGCCTTTTATCATATTGCTGTTGCTGCAGCTTGCATCATGCCTAACAACTGTGATAAAAGCTGTAGCGTATGATCTTGCTTATTGCTTTATATTTGGGTCTATTGTAAAATATTTTTAAAAATTGGTTCAAATGAAAACCATGTTTCTCTGTTCTGCAGTTAAACTCAAGTTTTAATGAGAAAACATTAAAACGCACACACACAATCACAAGCTGCTCTCAGTGGGAGAACAGGCCTCATTGTGCTTCCCACTGTGTTGACTGACTAAAGCATGTGCTGGTCAACAGCTGCTCCAGTTGCCTGCCCGCAACCCCCATAACACCTTTATCCATCTCACTTTTTCTGTCTGGAAGTCTCTCTATCAGTGTCTCTGTCTCCATCTTCTCCTTTGACATCTTCCTGCCAAGTGTGCAGACGTGGACGTGCACCTGCGGCAGCTGTGTCACCCTGCAGTGCAGCTGTCCCCCCTCTGATCCACTCCATCAGCGTTTGACACTGCTGCAGATCTTCATAATGTAGTTAGTGTCACTAGTACTATTGCTTACACTAGGGTTATTGTGGTGTGGAGAGTTATTATTTCAAATTAGACAACAATTACACTTCATGAACAGTATCTACTTTAGTTTGGTTTGCAATTTTTGGGGTTTGGGTTCAAAAGGTGGACAAAGTTGACAGGTTAAAAGCCAGTGTTATTTTAGTATAGTCAGATAATATAGTTTTTATTAATATTTTGAATTAGTTTTTATTTTTTTATTTTCATTTTAATTTCAGTTTTATTAATCTTGTTTTGTTTTTTAAAAATGTCTATATAGGGTTTTTTTTCTTCCAGTTTTATTTAGTTAAATTAAATAAAAAAAAGTTTACATTTTTAAATATTTCAGTTTTAGTTTATTTTATTTCAAGTAACAAAAATAGTTATTGTGGTTTTAGCTTTAGTTTTAAACATTTGATTTTTATCTGACTAATTCAAGAAGAACTTTATAATAAAATTAGGCCAACCATATATTTTAAAAATAAATTTACTCGCATGTTCTTGAGGTAAAGTCGCATTTTATTTAATTATATATAATACACACACACACACACATATATATATGTATACACATAGTTATTTCTCTGTAACACACCTGACCAAATGTAACCATCCGTTCATTTTAGTCAAAATGCAGGGGAAAAAAAAAAAATTTTTCCCCAAATCCTCAATGACTTCACACTATCCTGTTCTGCTTGTGTGGGTTAATAGGATGCAGGTGCACCCAAAAAATCCCCTCAGCGACAAGGGAGGACATCACAGACTCCAGTGCTGGCAATGAAAGTAAACCCCTGAAAATACATGAATAGATAAAAGAGATATTACAAGCGCAGGCACAAATCACAGAGCTGTGGCCCGGTCATCACAGTGACGCTATCCCAGCATGCCAAGTGGGCAGCAGAAGGCTGTGCGAGTGGAGTGGATAGGGGCTTTGTGGGTCAGCAGGCAAAGCAAGTCTCTAGTCTGTTGCAGTGATCCTTTGTGAGTGTGTATCTGGTTAGCTCTAATCTCTGAGGTATTACAGTAGTGTTTGATTGTCTAGGACTAAGTGTGTGTGTGTGTGAGAGAGAGCATATGTTCAGACTGTTTGCCAGAGACACGCTGCTTGTTGAGTTTTGAGGAGTGACATGTTTGCTTTTTATAATGGTCATAAAAATTCTGGAAACAAACTTGACACAAGTGTGTGTGTGTGTACCTACTTAACTATACTTCGACGTCAAATTTATGACTAGAAGTGTAAAAGTGTAAATCAAACAAATCCTCCATTTGGGGACATCTGGGGAAATCCTCATTTGTGTAAACATAAATTAAGTAAATATTTATTTAATTTTTATGGTTAAAGTTTTTAAATTATGAATAATGTTTGTTGTTGTTTATATTAGTATTATTAAATAATTTAATTATAACAACTATTTAACAAATAACAATATTTAAACAACAACAATAATAGTAGTAGTAGTAGTTTCTGTTGTAAATATTATTGTTATTGTTAAATAATTGATGATGATAATAATAATGATCAATTATTATATCATTATTATAAATAATAATGATACTATTATTATTATTATATAATGTATTATGATATATTATTATATAATATATACTATTATGATTGTACAAGTGCAGAAATATTACTATTAGTATATGGGTATGAGCTAATCTATATTATTAAAAATCAGTTGTTTTTAAAAACATTATAGATGTCTATAGAATATCCACATTTAGATATTTAGATACCGTAGCTGATGTAAGTAAACGTGTGTTGTAACTATCAATTACAAGCAGTTTATACAGTGTTATACAAATATATATATAGATCTTAGGTCAGATACAGATACTGTATACATATTTCCTGTATGTTTGAGCAGGTGTGTGTGTGTGTGTTCATACCTAGTTGGACTGGTGCACTGGGCGACACAAAAGAGCACTGTGTCGATGCTATTCCTCTTAGTGACAGTAGCACAGCTGCTTGTGTCCTGTTTCCTCTGTTCTGTCTGTTTCTGTTAGCACACACACACACACAGTACAGGTTTTTACCACTGAACACTCTCATGTTTGTCTTTGACTTATGCATTTCAAAGGAAAGACGAGTTCACATGAACACACAAACGTTCTAGTGCACATATTTAATACACAATACACATACACATTTGGATAGCCATTGACAAAAATAATTGAAAATGAGATTTCAGTCTTTCTCAGAGACAGCAATGAGATGAAATGGAGATATAATGGAAATTATTTATCAAGGGCATTGTGTCTCCATCCTTATAAGGACAGTTCACCCAAAAAATAAAAATTCTGTTGTCATATACTCACGCTCATGTTGTTACATACCTGTATGACTCTCTTTTTTTAGTGGAACGCAAAATAAAGATATTCTGAAGAATGCTGGTAACTAAACCGTTCCAGTTGACTTCCATTGTATTTTTGTCCAGACGATCAAAGTCAGTGGGAACTGAAACTGTCTTATCTTCTTACGTAAATGATGACTGAATTTTCATTTTGGGGTGTATTATTATGCTTTCAGGAAGAAATTGACCTCAGTTTCTCAAACTGTTCTCTCATTTGCCATGTCATCTCATCATTTTTTCCTTAACTATATTTCACTATAAAAGTGGAAATCATCATTTTACTTTTGACTAGTATTATTTTTCCTAAATACTGGGATTCATCTCGTTCCTGTGTCACTTTGTTCACCTTTCTCTCTCCTCCTTCTGGTCCATCATAGTCTCAAAACGAAGTGGCTTAGGAATCTATGATTTTCAAATGTCACTTTAGTATCATATATCCATCAAATGGATTAATAGAGTTTGTGTTTATTGAATATGCTCAGTCTGTTGTTTCTTTGTTCTGCAGGTCACACGGGTGCCGATCGAGTCCTGTGAGCAGTATGGCACGTGTGGAGAGTGTCTGAGCTCTGGAGATCCACACTGTGGCTGGTGTGTGCTGCATAACATGTAAGTTCCTTCTTAATATTTACGCACACAGTTAATAGTAAATAACAAACGATTTGTCATGTATTTGAAGGCCACAATCTCCAAAACTTAAATCATGTGGTGAAAAGTCTAGGAATGATCATATGTAAAGGCCCAGTGGTGCTCGGATGGCACAGAGGTCGTTTGCCCTCTGGTGGTGGACTAGTGCAACTGCATCCAGATGTTAACGTCTCACTGAATGCTGAATCCTCAGATGCTTGTATGCTTTTAAATATTGAATCTAACGTTTCCAGAACAACAGGCAGCTAACATTATTGCGTTCTTCATCTCTTAGTGGTTTTGTGCTGTTGTCTTCTCTCTCGCGTCCTGACTCTGTAGAGGTGTGTAAACCCTCCGCTGCCATCATTACAGTAATGGCGGGCGTACCTCCCTTGGAAAAGTGCACTTAAAGTAATTTACATGACTCCCGACAGGACAGGGACAAATAATTGGCGAAGCGAGCGGTATTTGTGCGTCTCTGTTCAGCATGGGGCTGTTTTTTTCGTCGGCATGCCGTTAGCGCGGCAGGATTACATTCCTCCATCAGTCCTCTGGGGCTTTTTGCTGTATTAAAGCTCATGTGATAAAGATGCCATTCGAATCTCAAACATACCATGCTGTGCTGTGCAGACAAGCTTATGTATTTATTAATTCACTAGCAAAAAGAACTAAATGTACCATGCTATTACATTGTTTTTTTAACATGTGACATGGTATTCTTTGAAATGAATTATTTGATAAATATTTTTTATTTTCAAATGTATTAAATAGTTATTTATATTTTTAAATGATTTTTTTTATTTTTTTTTTATAATTGTATTGTAGCATATTATTTTTAATATTTAAGCTGCATATTTTTAAAAGAAGATATACCATAAATATCATGGTATATCAATATAGTAATCATTCAATATACCATGCTATATATCAGATTCTCTCATTTTCTCTTTCTCTCCATGTGTGCTTGTATTCCTCCCTCCCCATGGCGAGTGCTTTTTCACAGTCAGTGTTCTCTTAATGAAATTAACATCTCTCACTTGTTCTAATTCCAGCTCCACACTCATATTTGCTCATTTCTCACTCCTCACGGCCCCTATGGAGTCAGTCCTTCCACATCTGATAGAGCGACAGACCGAGAGAGAGAGAGAGAGAGAGAGAGAGAGAGAGATTGCTGACACCTACTACAATGGTTTCATTAGTCTTTTAGCCTCTCCTTCACTGCACTGTTTTTCTATTTTTTTGCACACACTTAAAGGTTTTTAAATAGTTTTTCTGGGATCATTAAAGCACCAAAGCAGATGGTTTAAGAAGAAATCATTCTTTAAAACGTCTTTAAAACAACATCAATTTTGCATAAGGCAAATATCTCAGACTTATGTGAATGTGTCAATCTATACAATCTATAATAAGTCTTTTTTTTTTAAAGAAGCACTGCATTTTTTTTAATAATACATTTGATGAAGTTATATTTACAAGTTACAAATTTGTAGGAAAATTTAGATTTGAAGTTTTTAGCACTGAAAGATGGTCCAGTCTCATTTCAGTCATTAGATGTTTCCACTACCATTCAAAAGTTTGGTATCGGTAAGATTTTTGAAAGAAGTTTCTCATGTTCAGCAAAGCTGCATTTATTTGATCAAAAATACAATAAAAACAGTAATATTGTGAAATATTATTACAAGTTAAAATAGCTGTGTTCTGGTTTAATATGTTTTAAAATGTGAATTATTCCTGTTGTGGCAAAGCTGAATTTCCAGCAGCCATTTCTTTAGTCTCCAGTGTCACATGATCCCTCAGAAATCATTTTAATATGCTGATTTGGTGCTTAAACTTTTCTTATTATTATCAATGTTGAAAACAGTTGTACTGCTTAATATGTTTGTAGAAACCGTGATGCATTTTTTTTTTATAAAAAGTTTAAAAGTACAGCAATTAATCAATGAATCAATTAATGTGGCCTTGCTGAATAAATATATAAATTAATTTCTTTCAAAAAAAAAAAAAAGACTGACCCCAAACTTTTGAATGGCAGTGTATTTATTTATTGTACTTGCCTTGTTTGAAGGATTTTTTTTTTACACTAGAAACGTTTTTTTGTAGAGCAACATTATTCTGCTCTTAGTATGCGAGATGTCTCTCTTTATTCTTACCTCAGTTCAGAATAGTGTGATTTGCCAAAGTTCCTCTAATTACCAGCAGCTGCTGCACACCATGTGATTGAAAGGAGAAAAAATGAGTGAGAATAGACAAAGCAAGAGCATATGAGGTAGCACTAAATCTGCTGGTTTAGACTATAAAGGCAAACAGCATCTGTCTGGCATTAGACGACATCTCTCATTGGCCAGTTAGGTGGAACCCTGAAACTGGGAGGAGACAGAAAAAGGAGGAGAGCATAAAGTTTGCTGTCAGATTTAGGAGGACTAATCTCCTTGGCCCGTGGAGAACACTAATCCTGGAGATGATCTGATTGGCTGAACTCCTTTGATGTCAAAGGCTGGTTTAATATCAGTGATCCAGCAGTTGCTCAGCAGAGATCATTCCAACGGATCCATAATCGCTTTTAGGATTTAGCTCATTATAGAGAGAAAGAGGGAGGTGGGGAATCTTAGTGCTGATCAGTGTTTAAGGGCAGTGTGTAAGCGCATTTAACATTATGCAATACATGAGTGTTTGGAAAGTGTGTGTGTGTGTGTGTGTGTGTAAGCTCTCGGCTTGGGTCTTGTTTGCATGGCTGTGGCGGCCGTTCCAGGAGGAAGACGATCTTCACAGCAGGGTTCAGCGTTTGATCTGTGCTATGAGGTAGCATTTGCTCACTCTCTCTCTCTCTGATGTTCCCGCATGGGCATTCTTGATATGTTGGGTAGCACACTTTTTCTGCCACGTATACTGTATACTGTGCACCGTATGACAATTTTCTTATGCATTGAATGCACAGAGCACAGTATGTGAGATTTTGTGTCCCATAATGCAGTGCACTTGACTTGACCTTCCATGTTCAGTTCAATTCAAGTTTATTTGTATAGCGCTTTTCACGATGCAAATCGTTGCAAAGCAGCTTTTTACAGAAAATTCAAGTTTCTACATTATATTTAGTAATAGCTTATCAGTGGTGACTATCTCAAGTTGATGTCCATATGGCAGAAATGTACGGTAAAAATCAAGCAGTTCAATGCAGTCTGAGGTCCTCTGGGGGGTTGGCATCATCTCTTCTCAGGTGCTCGGTCATCTCAGGTCTTTGTAAGGGCTGGATCCAGACTGAAGCTTGTGTAATTCCTAGTTAACACGGGATGCCAATCACGGGATGGCAGAAACAGAGAAGGTAATAGAGAAAAATTTGCATAGCTGCTGTTCCAACTAAGCAAAAAATGATGTGTTCAACCCAAGCAAAAGAATGAAAATGTGCATTTGATCAGATGTAACTGAAGTACAAGGTAATGAGATGCATTATGTGAATGCTTGGCTAAAGAGATGTGTCTTTAATCTAGATTTAAACAGAGAGAGTGTGTCTGAACCCCGAACGTTTATCAGGAAGGCTATTCCAGAGTTTGGGAGCCAAATGTGAAAAAGCACTACCTACTTTAGTGGACTTTGCTATTCTAGGTACTACCAAGAGTCCAGAGTACGGAACTTTATAGGTAGCCAGTGTAGAGAAGGCTGTCGCCGGCCAACGAGTTGGTGTTTTTCTATGTATGCTTCAGACACGGGTCACGACGAGGCGTTCCCCATAGCGACCCCTAGAGGACGCAGTTCGAAGTTCCCATGAAAGGGAGCCAAATTTTTGACTGTAGAGGAACAGGAGGAAGTAGAGGAAGTAACAGTACATTCGTCTAGATGCAAATTGTAATCTACGAGATTCTGTGTACTGTTTTTTGGTCCAATAAGTAATATCTCGGTCTTATCTGAATTTAATAGGAGAAAATTTTTGGTCATCCAGCCTTTTACATTTTTAACACACTCTGTTAGCTTAGATAATTTAGAAGTTTCATCTGGTCTTGTTGA